CCAATCAGAATAGAGAAATCAAAGCTATGGTATAAAACATTATTATACTATAATGCATTACTGTCAGTATAATGAGTGTCAAGTATGAAATCCACGCACCATTCCCTGGAGTTTAGGAGGGTAAACACACTCTCCAACTAAAAACGATTTTTATTTACATTAAGATTCTCACAATCTTTGTGAGTCAAATACTAATTGTACTACAGTAGGACCTATATGAGGTGTGATATCTGTATGCTGCCCTTGCACAGAACACCTCTGTAACCTCCTGCCTGTGTGTGTGTATGTGTGTGTGTGTGTTGCCACGTGTGAATGTTTGTGTGCATCCAACCTCCCACAAGCACGTCCAGATCACTGTAGCTGGCCGATTTATCATCCTCATCTCTGATCGCTCCATTTATCATCCTTAGATCACCTCTCTAGCGGACGGGAAGTGTTTATTTTCACTCATTACAGGCCCCTGTCCATGTTTCCTGCGTGCTAGCTGGCTAATCCCAGATCAGTTTCCCTCTAGAGCTTCTGTATTTCCATTTAAATAGCCTAAAACTGCACATTTTGCACTCTGTTATTGAATTACATACCCTTATGTTCTGACATTTTTGATTAGCATCAGGAAGAGTTAAACAGCTATTATCATAAAAGTGTTATAATAAATAATTTGATGCAATGCATGTTGACAGGGACATGGGAAGGTGTTTTACATGGAGGATGCTGGAATTTTAAGCAGCATACATGTGGTGTGAGGTATGATGTTACACTTGAATGACAGACAAATCAGTTTTCAAGCTCCTCTGTTCTGAAGACTCGAGTCGCACGGACGTTCTGTAACATTAAATGTAAGCATGATGTGTCACTCATTAATAACTTAAAAATTATAATCTTTGGCAAATTGCTGTGGTATAAAATGAATACTGTCTCCAACATACAAACACAAAGACTACTCAAAATACTTAATTTGACCATTTTTTAGCCTATTTATTTATCTGTCTATCTATTCTTTTTATTTCAGAAAAATCAGAGGTGCTGCAGGACCCTCAGCACACCTACTTCCTGCATTCTTTTGTCATGAAGTATGTGCTAATAGACCTGTAATACACCTGTAATAAATGATCTATTGTGTTATAAACCAGTTATGCATAGTATGCTTTGTTAATTAACTTTTATGACCAATAACTCAGATTTTACACAACATTTGTAAGCTCAGTAGCTGTTGCTTTTTCCTGCTGCTTCTGAGACCGGTTAAGAGATTGCAACGATATTGAGATATTAAGGGTTAAGATATAAAACTGATTAAATGTTCTATTGATCAGAACCAGAACCCTAACTGAACCCTAAACATCAGATAACTACTCACCCTCTCAGACTGTTTGATGTCATATGATAAGAGAGGCTAAGTGGTTAAATCACAACAATTTAATTGGATAGAAAAAATACATCTCATATGGTGGAATGTGGCTTTTGGCTTTCTTCCCTCTCCACTTTATTTTATAAATTGCCATATTATTCGGTTGTAGATTCCATCTCTGACTCTTTCATCTAATAAACTGGATGCTCATTGTAGATTAAAAAGCCAAAATATTCTTACATGAAGAGTTTTCCTAGGCACCAGACAAATATGGTTTCCAATTATGGCCATGATGGGTGGACTTAATGTTAGATGAGAGGCTAAAATCAAATATCTATCAATAACTGGACAATAAAAGTGTTATGGTTGAACAATGTATTGTATCATGAGGTCTCATTAATGGCATAATAAGAATAATATGGGACAAAATTAAACACACACACACACACACAGAGTCTCCTCTGCAAACATGCTAAACATAGTAAACAGAAAACTCTTTCATTCAAACCAAAAAATGTAAAAATACTTGAACTTATGATTAGACAATGAGTGCTTAGTCCCTCTACTTTTAGTTTCTCTTCCAAACACATTTTGGGGGGAAAAAATATGAAAAGTAGCAAATAATCCACCTTGTTCATGTTCATTGCACCTTTTCAATCACTGCTGATGATGTGTTACAGATAATAATATCAGAATAATGAATAATATCAGCACAAAAAAGAGATCAAATCTAGGCGTTGTTCCACTCTGTGTATTTCATCTGACTTCACTGTCACTGATAGGCTGTATGAATCTGCAGTGTGGGCTAGAAAGAAATCAGCCACAGACTCACTATATCATAGTATTCTGTGTATTTTCCTGTGACCATTGGTGGTGTTGTTGCACCTGCTTCCAAAAAAAGTGCACAATAATCCATTTGTTAACAGCAAATAATTTGATGTGGATGCCAACAATGAAATCTTACACTGATGTCTTTTTATCTTTGGCCCTGTTCACACCTGATTAACATCTGGCTTGAGTGATCCGATCACAAGTGGAAAAGCCAAAAGTGGCCCATGATGTGATCACTTGCATTTAAGGTGTTTACTGCATTTGGAATCTTGGACAATTACAACCAACTGTGTCTAATGCTTGTGTGTCATTTCAGCTTGGGCTAAACGTGGCCTGGCTGTACATTCTAGTCCATATCATTCCAGGATACAGTCTCATCAAGGACAAATTATAGGTGTGCTCTGGCAGTCCAATTCAGAGAAGTCCATTTCTGTCATGTGGGCCAAATGGCAGCGGGAAGTGTGGGCCAGCCCTGGGCCATCATTTATTTGCTATCTGGAATCTAGTCCACTATTACACCTGTCTTCAGCAACCTGCTCAAAAATGAAAACTAAAATGTGCTGGCTGCTGAATTCTGCGCTGAAAAATAGCCTGTATCCCTAACCCTAGTATACACCAGCAGTGCCCTAATTATGCTGTCAGCAATTCGGTCATATAAAAAAACACTTTTTTCTACAAGTAAGCACAACACAATAATCTCAAAGCTGAGTTATAGAAGCCTGAAGTCTTTCATACCTGATCATCCATAAAAATATACCCACTCTCCCAGTGAATATGATCAACCTCATACTTTTAGTAAAGTGGCCACTACAAGCTCTTCTCAATGGCAGTAAACACATTCCTAAATGGCTGATGTGCATTTTCACAACAATGATGTTTACAACATTCTTTTCAAAATGCATTTAATAATACAGTGCAACAAGGCCAGGTTATCCGGGTTATTAGATAACTTTCCTGAATGCGCAGCTTTTAAAAGCTCTGTTCATTATTGAGGATTGGATATCCTGCCTATCCACGGCAACTGTATTTTTAAAAAATCTTCACTTCTTTCACCATTACTGCATATATTATCGGCCTAAATAACTGATGATATCATTGTGTCGAAGTATAGAATAAATTATTTCACTTGACATATTAGCGAGTGAAAATATCTTGAATATAGTCAATTTATCTAGTATTTTCTAAGATCACAATAAGCCTAATATATAATTATTAAACCTATTTCTAGACATGATTTCTACTAATTTCAAGCTTGAAATAGTCTTGTTCTGTAGGCAGATTTTTTTTTAAATAATTTTAAGCATTTATTTCTAGAAAGAAGCAGAAATGAAGAAAAATGTAAAGCTTGAAATGCATAAAAGCATCTAAAACAGATTAGTAATAATCTCATAACATGAGATTGCCCATATTCAAGATATTTTCACTTGCTAATATATCTCTTTTTTTTGCAGTGTGCACATACCCATATGAATAGAAAGTACACTATTTTATTTTGTTTGTTTGTCTGTTATCAGTGGTTTGCTCCTGACCTAAGCACTGTTTTACTGAACTCCAAAATAAAAACATATTTCTGTACAAACTGGCCTGAAATTCACGAAAGAAACATGCTTTTATTTATAGGTCTGCAGGTCACATGCTGTACAAATACTGCAAAAAATTTATCCTAGCAAGTTAAAATTTCTTGAATATAGTCAAAATGATCTAGTATTTCCTATTATAAGTTTACAACAAACCATACAATACAAGATTATTAAACCTATTTCTAGACATTATTACTAATTTCAAGCTTTAAATGTTCTGATAATGAAAATTATCTGCCAATAGAATGCTAAATAGAATTTATAAATAAATGTAATAATATAATAAGAAATACTAGATAAATTTTACTATATTCAAGATATTTTCACTTGCTAAGTTGTTATTTTTCTGCAGTGAAATGCAGCTTATCTGCTGGGGGTCTCCAAAAAATCATTTAATTCATTTTTAAAAACATTAACTTTTATGTTCATCAGATGTGTTTTTCATCATTTTTAAAAGAGCATTCTTCATCATTCTCCTTTAAAGTCTGCTCAAAAGCAAATCTTTCTGGAATATGATATGGGTATGATTTATAGTAGATTCTGACAGTATGTCCAATGAAATTTTCTGATCTTTTTGGAATGTAACAAACCCAAAAACTGAATTAAAGCTGATAACATATTATTAGGTGGCTACTGTTGTCAACTGTAATCAATAGTTCCCTGACTGGGGAAAGACAAGAGTCAAGAGTCGTTTATTTGCTTTTTGCACAGTTACACTGCAGGGTACACTGGGCATTGAAATGCTTGTGACAAGGCTCAGATTTTGACATTGACAGTACAAACACTTATTAGACATGAACAAACACATATTTGGACATGAGTGGTTGAGATAAAAATAATTTAATTCATAGTTGTTTTGACATAGTTGTTTTGAAAGATAGTTCCATATCTTACTCAGTTAGATAGAAAGCTTGCCATAATTTCTGCAGTTTGAGATTAACAATGACCTCAAGCGATGTAGCTGAGGAAGTGTAGAAGATGAGGAGCTGAATAAAGTTGCTATTTGTTGCTATACTTTGTGAAAGAAAAAAAAAATCACTGGAGTTTTTCAGTTTTTTCACTTCAGCGTTCAAGTGTTAGGGTTCACCTTTAAAAAAAATCTTGTTTAGACCATGCCAACTTCCACCTACAACTTAAATAGAGATACATTTTTACATTTGGCAGACACCCTTATCCAGAGTGACGTACATTTATGTCATTTTTATACAAGTCAGCAGTTGATGGTTAAGGGCCTTGCTCAAGGGCCCAGTAGTGGCAGGATTTGAACTCACAACCTTCTGATCAGTATTCCAACACCTTAACCACTGAGCTACTACTGTCCAATACAGATACAGATGAAGATAGTGACATCGCATTACACTCCTATTCTGCACACTGTAAATGAAATGTTGCCTATGGATAAATTGTAGAAATCCCAAACAGCATAGATGCCGTCACGTTTTCCTGCAACGACACCTGATTTAAGTGTTGTGGTGAGATATTTCATGTGTAAGATTCCATGTAAAAGTTTTATTTCAGTGTTTGAAATGTTACAGGAGTATTAGCTTTTGAATGTATGGTTTACTCTGACTCAATGTATTTAGCTATGTAGTTAGCTAGCTACTGTACGTTCGTGAATACGAACTTAGCTACATTAGCCTACTAGACTACGATATTTATGGAGTTGAATCGTCACTGCTGTAGTCAGGTGTAATTTATGTGTTCACAGTATATCATATTATAGATTAGACTGTAAGACTTTCTGTTATATTTGCATTTTTATATCAAAATGCATGCTATTAAGAAAAGTTAGATATTGTCCTGAAAATAAAAATAAACCAAAAATATGTCTCATATGTTCATCAGGCAAGTCTATTTCTGGAGACTATGCACTGTTGGAGTGGTGGCTTCACCGGTTGGAGACTTTGCCACCCGTCTAGGGCTATAATACCTAAATCTATGGCAATTATTTAAAAAATAATCACACACCCTTCTCAACTATCTAATGGAGGAAGATGAATGGAATGGGGCAGGAACTAAAAATAACCTTTTTTGATTCAGATTTGCAAACAGCAGCTATTTTTGACACTTTTATTTCACCATGGTAGCTTTTAGTGACAAAATAACACTAAAGATAATATTATGTCATAATATAAATATGATTTTTAAAATAATTGTTCATAATCATTAGCAATTGTTCATGTTCATTAATGTTCGTCTTCCTTACTGAAATTGTACTAAACACATAGATACATGCTGGAAAAAATGAATAAAATTAGTGCTTACCTTTATCCTTTTAGTAAATGTAAACTGGGTCGTGCCACTACAATTCCATATCAGTAATCTGAGAGAACTCAGACCTTTCTCTCTCCTCTGACTTTATTCTACACTTCATTGTATTCTGATCTCTCACAAGTGGACTTTATCAGGCTGGAAGAGAACAATGCTCCTCTCCAAGGCCCTCTCCCCCTCACTGTAATTTAGTTTTATAAGAAGTCAGAACAGCTCCATGTCTGTGTTGTTCCTAATGATATAATAGCTCCACACTTCTGCCTCTGCTAGAGGATGTTTACAGCATCTCCTAGAAGCCAAATGAGAAACAGAGTCAATTTTGTTAGCCAAGTAAAATTCACTTATAGGATTTGATTTGACATTTGTTCTTACAGACATAGATATTGCAAAAATCTGAAAAATCAGAAAAGTAAAATATATAAAGAATAAAACACTTGGGGAGTGGAGCTACTGTTACTACCCCAAAGTTGAATTTTCCAGTAATAGCATGTCTCAAAGTGTTTGCTATTTGCCAACAATAATTTTTTTTTTTTAATTTCTTAAAGAATGACACATTTCACTTTTTATCCATTTATAGTTACATTTAATGTTGTGGAATGTCTGAGAAACAGGGGTGGGTATCTCGTTCTGTAATTAATGAGTGTTTCCCGAAACCCTTTGTAACTAACATAGTACATAAACTTGTTCATAAATTAACAAGTAGCCTGATCCATTCCTTATTCCCTTCACAAGTACTTTGTTATTTGGTGCTTGCTTGCAGTTCTACCTCAAAAAGACAGAGGCTGCTAATTTCTATACAAAAATCTTCAGTTTTATAGCATGCGTCTGATCCAGTGCCCTAGTGTTAACTTGATTAACTTGCAGCATGTGGTGTAGTTTGTAATGTGGCTACTTCACATCACCAGCGTCTAAGTTCGAACCTCAGTTCGCGTAACTGTGCTGGATTACATTTTGTTTTTATTAATCATGTGAGCTGTACAAAAACAAATGAAGCAAACTTACATTTAAAAACTGTGTTCATCTAAATAAATTCACATGGAACCAACAAGTTACCTTAACAAGTTAAGTGTAAGAGATTATGAATCTCTTGATGAGATGATAAATTTATGTTGACGTAAAATATTTTATTTGTGTGGAACCGATATACACATTCAAATCAAGCAAATTCAATGAACCGTTTGTCGTGTAGCTTTCGTACTCCCTTTGGTCATTGTTCTGCACACTGAAAAAAAGTTCATTGAATTTACTTGATTCAAACGTGTACATCGATTCCACATGAATGAACTGATTTGTCTTAACACGGTTTGTTTTTGTACAGCCAACATGACTTGATCATATACAGCACTGTGCAAAAGTCTTAGGCACCCTATTTTATTTAGTACAAACTTTGTTATAGATTTTTATTTTATGACTTCTACATTATTGATTCAGTACAAAAACATTTTAGATTTCCAAACTTTAGTTTTCCAGCACAAAATTAAATGTTACAGAAAAATGTTTGTATGTCAGTATAGAAAGCAGCAGATTACATAAGAGACACTTTTCAGACAAAAAACATAATGAAGGCTGCTGGGTTTTGCTGCAAAAATAAGAAGCGAGTGTGACAGTCAAAGTCTCCAGAAGAACTGTGGCTGCTTCTGCAAGATGCTCAGTAAAACTTACAGCTCATTTCCTTATAAAACTGCACACATTTTATCTGAGACTACTATTTTTTTTAAAGCGAAGGATTGTCACACCAAATATTGACTTTGTTTCATTTATTACTGTTTACTGCTCTTTATAGTATTTTTTTAAATGTAGAAACATTTAATTTCATTATTTTTGAAGGCATCTTTGGCATTTCTTTGCATGTGCCTAAGACTTTTGCACAGTACTGTATATTCAAAACCCTGGAATAAAATTAAACTCCATGCAGCCACCTGAGCTCAGAACAAGACCCAAGACCTGGAACTGTGCAACAGTAATGTTACCCACTACATAAACTAGCCAAGTTAATGTAGAACTAGTCAGTGCCTACATAATTACTTTTTCTCAGTGTAGCTCTTCCAAACATATGTAATTTTGTTGTAAATTGTTGACTGTACTTTCGTCTATGTTTGCTATATTTTAAAAAACTGTCTATCTGCATCTGTTTCTGCTGTTTCCGGATTGTCAGTCATTAGTTTGATTATCAACTCATGTGGCTTTTCTCCAGACTCGGGCTGGGCGGAGCCAACAAAGAACTACTTACAACTCGCTTGTTAAATCTCTGATAATAAAGGCTTCCGGGAAGCATTCATATGTAATGTATGTCCTTCTTGAAGTTGTTAGTTATTCACTAAGATTCATTGTTATTGGGAAATCCACCCCTGGTTAGTCCCCGCTGGTTCCCGTCCACTTACGTTATAGCAGCTATAAACAGTCGTTCCCTCACCAGCCTCTTTTTTTTTTGTCTCTCTTGAAGTTAAGACAAAAATCTTTTTATGTATTACATTCGCCATACAAGTCCCTGTGAATTTGCTGTTATACATTAACATCAGAATGATCTCGTTAATATAGTCATAGCAGTTGTTAATTAAAAAATATAAATCAACACCTCCTGACCAATCAGAATTGAGAATTAAACAGCAATGAGGTATATGTAAAATGAAAGAAATGAATGGTAGTATAATATATAACCAGAGCAAGTATGAAAGATTAGAATATCTTTTTTGTGAGGGTTTGTTGATGTGTTTAATTACACATTGTATTATCTCTCACAAGCCATTTCAGCCTCTGCTTCACTTTATCATATTCTTCTTACACTTTCACATGATTCGACTTATGTCTTTATTGCCTTAAAAGCGAAACTAGCACGAAACATCTGGCCAATAACACTGCAGCTGCTGTGTTCATTTCTCAGTAATTATCCTCCTAACATTTTGACAGAAGCTGTGTGTATGTGTAAATATAGCACCATCACCGAGTTTGATAGTAAATTGTTCCAAGCTGAACTAAAATGACTCAAGCCCATGAGACGTCAGCGAAAGATCTGCGGCTCCCTTTCAGCTCAGGGGAAAAGAGTGAAAAATCATTCAGCCACAAAAAATGAGCCACAAAACCACTTCCCTGTTTTCGTACCTGAATGCTAGTTACTGCTTAAAAATAGAGTCTAAAATTTGATAATAACATAATAATCCATTGAAGTGAACATGAGCTCACAAAGTGTTTACGGTTTACAAGAAATGATACAGAAATTACAGCATTTTGCCTGAAATGTAAGGCTTGATCCTGTGTGATCAGGAAAATCACACAGTGTCTCTTTCACAACCGAAGTTCACTCGTCATACTGTATATATAGGAAAGGTTCATCTTTGGCATCATATTTTGACTAGATTCAGGAAATGATAAAATTATACAATAGCTACAGAAACCTTCTCAGACTAAAACTGACCAAAAGTATATCATTAGGAGTAAGTGTTAGTATTCTTTTGCAATATGATTGTCCAAGGCTTTCTGTACAGTACTGTGCAAAAGTCTTAGGCACATGCAAAGAAATGCTGTAGAGCAAAGATGCCTTCAAAAATAATGAAATTAAATGTTTCTACAGTTAAAAAAAATACTATAAAGAGCAGTTAAGAGTAATAAATGAAAAAAGGCACTATTTGGTGTGATGACTGTTGCGTAAAAAAATAGTAGTCTCAGGTACAGTGTGTGCAGTTTTATAAGGAAATGAGCTGTAAGTGTTACTGAGCATCTTGCAGAAGCAGCCACAGTTCTTCTGGAGACTTTGACTGTCACACTTGCTTCTTATTTTGCAGCAAAACCAAGCAGCCTTCATTATGTTTTTTTGTCTGAAAAGTGTCTCTTATGTAATATGCTGCTTTCTATACTGACATACAAACATTTTTCTGTAACATTTAATTTTGTGCTGGAAAACTATAATATTTCTAATGAAATCTTTTGGTATTGTACTGTATATTTTAAAGTTTAAGTTTTAGTATGACTGAATATGCTAAAACATTAATAGTCAAAGGTTGATTAAGATTTCTTTCAAGGATTTTCCATTGTGACTGAGTGAATTGTTTGG